GTTCCAACTCAATGGCACCTGACAACAACAGGCAAATGAAGAGCTATACATACATCTTTTTTCAAGATTGACTTTTCCTTCTGAACCACACCTTATTCTGCGTTTCTAAGTTCCTGGTCCCAGTTTAAGCTTCATCTAACAGATTGGAAAATAATCACTTACTTCTCTCTGCTTTATTATCAATTTTTTCAAAATTCTACAATTTCCTAAAACACATGTTAATAATTGATAACATCTTGGTAAATTTCATATGATATATACGATATTTTGATGCTTAAATTTAAGTTAGTTGTAGATAAACACACAAATTTTAAGTAAAACAATGACTGAAAAAAGAATAAGCAGGTACTGATGTGCATAGACACCAGTCACTAAAACCAACACCTTATTCCCATTCTATCGACACTTTTCCACTGCAACTTAATCCAATTCATTAAATTGCTGATAATATACTATATAAGAAGTAATGTGGAAATAAGTCACCCCACAAGGTCACTAGTTGTCTCCTTCTTCACCTGTGATATATGCACCCATGTAAGTTTTGCCATTACAATTTGATCTTAGCAAAAGCAGAATATAAATTTAAAAAAAAAAAACAAAAAAACACACACACACAAAATAAAAAACAGGACTTCTGGTTAAAAATATCTGACTCTAACATGTTACAGTCTTCCTCTCCCATACTAAAACCTTAAATATATACAAAAGGTGAACAACAAGCAAACAAATGTATAGCTGACCTTGAAACAAAAAAGGTGAACTCAAACTGAGAACTCCCTAGGCAACACACCAGACTGAAGAGGGGAGTGGCAGCCCTGCCTGTGAGTGGTGAGAGTTCAGCTACAAAAGGCAGAATTGGTGGAAGCCCACAGCATGAAGACAACCAAGAGGCTCACTACTTGGAGCATCAAAGCGAGATGGTCAGGTAGACAACCTCATGCACAACGATCTCACCTGCTCACTATACTCCCTTCACACTCCAACGCAAAAGAGGATATCTGCCTCCAGAGGGGAGCAGTTAAGTGTCCAGGAACAATAGTAGCCCAGACCCAGAAACTCCCAGGAGGAACAGAAGACATCCACACTATTGTGTTTAACAGGTGAAACTACATTGGCTTACCTCCATTATCTGCCAATCACTTGAGGAAATGCATGAGCATGACGGAGAAACTATATAGACTCAACAAATGGAAGAATCTAGACTTGAAGAATCAGAGTTCATTAAAGGAATATGAACAAAATTTCAAAGTAAGTATAATCTAAATATGCAAAGAGAAAATATGACATTCAAAAATAAGAACAGTTTCAAAATAACAGCAGTCATGAAAAAAAGGTCATTTAGAGATCTTGGAAATGAAAATAGAATTTCTTAAAAATAACAACAAGATGTACAGGGTTCAGAGCTGAATAGAACACAGATAAAGAAGAAACAGTAAACTAGAAGTCGAATTCTCTCAGAATGCAGTACAATAGAATAAAGCAATGGAAAGACTGAAATAAAAGTTAATGAAACATTGTGGATGAGAAGTCAGAAGTTCCATTATCCAGTCAAAGAAGTTTTTACAGAAAACAGAAGGCAGGTAATATTTAGGGAAATTAAAAGAACAGCAACAGCAGCTGCAGCATTGGTGCCACGCCTCTAAACACTCCATTCATGAAAACGCCGAACACACGGTCCTGCTGAGAAAGCCCAGGTAGAGTCATGGGTGCTGGCGTCTGGCCTGGGCTGCATGGACGGGTCTGGGGCACCACCACAGCATCTGCTGACTGCTGTCCAAGGGCGTGAAGCTCCATGGGGCGCTGGAAGATGGTCCATGCTCATGTCCACTAAGCCCTGCGAGGAGTTTCACCCAATGGTCACAGGGCACTTCTTCATCAAAAGCTGAATGAGACTGCAGAGGTCTTGCAGGGCTGGGGTCATTGGAACTGTGACCCAGTAAAGGGAAGAGAAAGTAGTGGAACTCAGGAACTCAGCTGAGATTCACAGAAGCCACACAGTAGGAATAAGTGCTGCACACTCAAAAACAGAGAATCACTTAGAGACCTGTGGGGCAAAGTCAAGATGTCTGTGAAACTGAACTTGCAAAAGAAGGGGGAAAAAAATAGCAGAGCAGATGAAATATTTACAAAGATACTGTCCCATTTGACCTAGCTTGGATGGCTTGCTGACCAAAATTCAATCAGATGAAAATAAACTAGTATGATACAGGGAGCAAGTGTAAATTACTACAACCTGATCAAATGGACCTTTGCTTATGGATGAAGCTGCCCAAAATTCCAACCGAATAAGGAAGGATTCTTCATGTCAAGGATAAAGCATGACTCCTCAGTACACTACGTTGATGGAGATGGGCACTTTAGATGTCAACTATCACAATTGGGGTGCTATTAGGCACAAAGTGGCTGGTTTACAAGCTTTCATTTAGTGCCAGAATGAGGAGAATACAGAAACGCTACTGAATAGGAAAATCAAAGAGAAATGGCATCACATTCATTGTCAAAAAAGAGCTTTTTCAAGACCTATCTTGATATCCAATGCTATGATAAGATAATATCGATTTATCCACAAGGAAGACCAGTTAATACCAC